TTTCTGCATATACATACTGTGTTAGATTTTACACTTGAGTACCTTTTTTTGAGGTGCTATCGTAAATGATCTTTTTTTCATTTGAAAATTTGGAATTCCAGTTCTTTATTCAGACATAGGAAAACAGTTAACTTTTTTATATCATCACTTTGTATCATGTGATATTGCAATATTTCCTTATTACTTCCAGTAGATTTTTTCTTTCTTTTTGTAGATTCCTTGAGATTTTCTACATAGACAACAATATTGACTTCAAATAAACAGAGTTTTGTTTTTCCTTTTCAGTGATACTCACTTTTTTGATCCCATTGTTTCAACCCCTCCTCCCTCCCACCTACCCTCTGGCAATCATCAGTTCTCTATATTTAGCAGTCTCTTTTTTTCATCTCTTTTTTACTTTTTTTTCCCTTAAATTCTACATATGAGTGAAATCATATCTGTCTTTCTTTCTTAGTCTGACTTATTTCACTTAGTATTATACCCTCTAGATCCATTCATGTATTGCAAATGTCAAGATTTTGTTCTTTTTTTCTGGCTGAGTAACATTCCACTGTGTATATCTATATACCACATCTTCTTTATCCATTTATCTTATCGGTGGACTTTTGAGTTGCTTCCATATCTTGCCTACTGTAAATAGTGCTGCAAAATAACATCTTTTCGATCAGTGTTTCTATTGTCATTGGGTAAATACCCAGTAGTGGAATTACTAGATTATAAGATGGTTCTGTTTTAGTTTTTTGAGGAAGCTCCATACTGTTTTCCATAATGGCTGCATCAGTTTTCATCCCTACCATCAGTACATAAGGATTCCTTCTTATTCACATTATCACCAACTCTTGGAATTTCTCTTTTCGATTTTAACCATTTTGACTGGTGTGAGGTGTTATCTTATTGTGGTTTTGATTCAAGTTTCCCTAATGATTAGTGATACTGAGCATATCTTCATGTGTCTCTTGATCATCTGTATATCTTCTTTGGAAAAATGTTTATTCAGATCCTTTGCCCAGTTTTTAATCAGCTTATTTGGGGGTTTTTTTGGTGTTGAGTTGTAGAAATTATATATTTTGGATATCAAATCCTTAATGGATATATCATTTGCATATATCTTCTCCCATTAGTAGGTTGTCTTTCTGTTTTATTTATGGCTACCTTTGCTTTTTGTTTTGGTGTAGTCCCAATAATTTATTTTTGCTTTTGTTTCCCTTGTCTGAGGACACATACCTAGAAAAAGTTGTTACGGTCATTGTCAAAGAAGTTACTACCTGTGTTCTAATCTAGGATTTTTATGATTTGAGGTCTCACATTTAGGTCTTTAATCGATTTTGAGTTTTTTCTTTATGGTGTAAGAAAATGGTCCAGTTCCATTGTTTTGCATGTAGTTGTCCAGTTTTCCCAGCACCATTTGCTGAAGAAACTGTCTTTTTCCCATTGGATATTTGTCCTCCTTTGTTGAAGATTATCTGACCATATAACTGGGTTTATTTCAGGGCGCTCTACTGTTCTACTTTGAATAACCAGAACAATCTTTGGAAAGAAAAACAAGTCTAGATTTGTTTCTTTTTTTTTTTTAATTTTTTTAAAGGATTTTATTTATTTGACAGAGAGCAAGCAAGCACAAGTGGGGGGAGGAGTAGAGGGAGAGGGAGAAGCAGACTCTCCACTGAGCAGGGAGCCCGACACGGGGCTCCATCCCACGACCCTGGGGTCATGACCTGAACCAGAGGCAGATGCTTAACTGACTGAGCCACCCAGGTGCCCCAAATCTAGATTTGTTTCACAAGTTGATCACAATCCCAGATTTCCAGATATACTGCAAAGCTATAGTAATCAAAACATTATGGTACTAGCACAAAAGTAGACACGTAGGTAAATGAAACAGGGTAAAGAGCCAAATCATATATGTTTTATTTCTGGTTTTGGGTTTGGTTTGGTTTTGGTCTTACTGCACTAGCTAGGACTTCTAATACAGATTTGAATGAGAGTACTTAGATAAAACATCCTTGCCCTATCCCTTCCCTTAGTGAAAAAGTATCCAGTCTCTTAACATTAAATATGATGTTAACTGTAAGGTTTTTTGTAGATGGTCTTTATCAAGCTGAAAAAGTTTCCCCTTTGCTGAGAATTTTCCTCATGAATGAGTGTTAGATTTTGTGAGATGCTTTTTCTTCATCAATTGATTTGATCATGTAATTTTTCTTCTTTGACTTATTAATCTGCTGGATTATAATGATTGGATTTTTTTTTTTAACATTGGCCCAGCCTTCCATACCTAGAATAAATTCCACTTGGTTATGGTTTATAATTCATTTTATACATTGTCAGATTTGATTTTCCAATATTTGAGAATTTTTGTTTCTATATTGGATATTAGCCTTTAGTTTCCCATGTCTTTATCTAGTTTTGGTATCAGGGTAATGCCGATCTTATAATATCAATTTGGAAGTGCTCTTTACTGGAGGAGATTGTGGAGAATTGGTATTTTTTCCTTAAATGTTTAGTAGAATTTACCAGTGACACCGTTTGAGCTTGGCACTTTCTGTTTGGGAGTGATGTGATTACTTATTCTTTTTTTTTTTTTTAACAGATATAGATCTGTTCAGGTTTTCTATTTCTCCTTGCGTGAATTGGTAGCTGTGTCTTTTAAGGAATTTGTCCATTTCTTCTAAGTTAATATTTCAGGAATAGAATTGTTTGTAGTAGTCTCATATTATTTTAATGTTCTTAGGATCAGTAGTGTTGAACCATCATTTCTGAGATTCACAATTTTTTTCTTTTCCCTTTGTTCTTGGTTAAGTTTTCTGCAAGTTTATTAATTTATTGATCTTTCCAAAAAAGCAGCTGTTGGTTTTGATTTTCTTTTTTTCATGTTTCAATTTTGTTGATTTATTCTAAAATTATTTTTTTTTAATTTTTATTTATTTATGATAGTCACAGAGAGAGAGAGGCAGAGACACAGGCAGAGGGAGAAGCAGGCTCCATGCACCGGAAGCCCGATGTGGGATTCGATCCCGGGTCTCCAGGATCGCGCCCTGGGCCAAAGGCAGGCGCCAAACCGCTGCGCCACCCAGGGATCCCTGTTGATTTATTCTAATGTTTATTTTGTTTGCTTTGGGCTTAATTTGCTTTTCTTTTACAGTATACTAAGATGCAAACATAGGTTACTGATTTAAAATTTTTCTTTTTTAATATATACACTTGATGCTATAAGTTTCCCTCTATGTACTGCTTTCAGTGTATCTCACAAATTTTGATATGTGATATTTTTATTTCATGTGTTATATTTAAAAATTTCTTTCGAGATCTCTTTAAATATAGATTATTTATAAGTATATTGTTTAATTTTCAAGTGTTTGAGGGATTTTCCAGCTATCTCTTGTTTATTGATTTATATTTAATTCCATTGTAGTCGGAGAACGTATTTTATATGATAGCTGTTGTTTTAAATTTGTTAAGGTATGTTTTCTGGCCAAGGCTATGGTCTCTCTTGGTAAAGGTTACATATGAGCTAGAACAGAATGATAAAATATGGGTTTTATTTTTGGATGGAGTATTCTGTAACTGTCAATTAGATCATGTTGATGGATAGTACGGTTCAGGTCATCTGTATACTTACTGATTTTCTGCCTCCTTGATCTCTCTCAATATTGACAGAGGGGTGTTGAAGTCTCCCAACTATGATTATAAATTTGTGTATTTCTCCTGTCAGTTCTATCAGTTTTGGGCTATGTATTTTGGTACCCTTTTGTTAGATGCATATATTCTTTTGATACTCTTGTTAGATTTACATATGTTTTCTCTAATAGGATTTTGAACCCATTTAATGAGTTAATTCCAGTGTTATATTTTTCAGCTCTAGAACACCCATTTTATCTATGTACATATGTGTATATGTATGTGCCTGTATTCACATCTATCAGGGAGTCCCCAAGACCATCCCCAGGTTCAGTGACTTACTAGGGTGACTCAGCACGTAATTCTACTTATGGCTATGACTTATTACAGTGCAAGGATATAAAGCGGAATCAACCAGGGGAAAGGGCACACAGAGAAAGATGAGAGGAAGCCAGGAGCAAACTTCTAAGAGTTTTCTACCAAATCTAGTGATGAGATAGACAACAAACATGAAATGTTTGCCAGGGAATCTCAGTAGATACTCGGTGCTCAGAGTTTTTAATAGAAGCTGATCACATTGGTACTCTCTGCTTGGCACAGAAACTTCTGGATTTAGAAGGAATATACATGTGTTGAATAAGCCATATTGCTTACACAAACAGTTTAGACTCAGTGAATGATTCTTCTAAGGGAATTTAAGTTTCCAGAAGCCAGCCAGCAGACATGCTTATAAGCAGCAGACCTTTCAAAGGATAGCAATCTCAGGTTTGCTCTCGTAATTCTTTGCTGCACAGTACACATACTATATATCCATTGTACTTTTCCTACTTATTTTGTTCAGACTTTCCTCTGTTTTATTGAGCATATTAATCATAATCCATTTTAAAATTCCTGCTTATTAATTCCAATGTCTGGATCCCCTTCTGATCTGTTTTGTCTCTTTATTTTTTCTATCATATAACTGATGATATTAAAGAACTAATTTTTTCTTGGTCTCCTTTCCTTCCTTTTTTTTAATTTTTTTTATTTTTTTTATTTTTTTTCCTTTCCTTCCCAGTCTACTGTGTGCATACTGCTAGATCCTGCAATGTATAATTTAATAAATGTTAATGAATATATCTCCTCATCAGATCATAAGCACTTTGAGAGAAGGAATGGTGTGTTTGTTTTCATCAGTAGTATTTGTAGGGAAGGGAACAGTTCAGGGCTTTAGTGGAAACTCAGTTTGTACAAGATATTTCTTTCATCCTACATAGTAAGTAGCACAAAAGAAGGCATCCTGTGTGTCAATTCTTAGCAAATTCTAAAGAGATAAGCTCTTTTAAATTTTTTCCACATTATTTAGTTCTGACAGCTTCATATAGAAAAGGAATATACTATTACAGGAACAAGTGTCATTCAAAGATGTATGTGTGGACTTCACTCAGGAAGAGTGGTATCTGCTGGATCCTGCTCAGAAGATACTATACAGAGATGTGATTCTAGAAAATTATAGCCACTTTGTCTCAGTAGGTAAGAATTTCATTTCCTTGTAACTACCAGTAGCGTGCATTTTTAGTTGTTGAAACATATGAACTGCCTGTGGAATTTTGATTGAAGCTTAATTTTCAAGGCACTGAGGTGGCCAGTCCCTCTGGCCACCATAAAGAGTGCTATGGTCTTAATCTCCACAGGGGTTGGTTCATTTGGGCATCTCTCTTGGGCAGTCTCTGAAGCTATACCTTTCTTCTCCATCATTTTCTAAGAGTCCCTGAAGCCAGGCTATTTAGCCATCATCTTGTATTATCTTTTCTTAACAGGATATTGCATTACTAAGCCAGAAGTGGTCTTCAAGATTGAGCAAGGAGAAGAGCCCTGGATATTAGAGGCAGGATTCCCAAGCCACTGCCACCAAGGTGAGTTAGTACACAGACATATGCCAGAAGGGAATAAGATCTTAGGCCATTGGTTTGGGGTTTCTCACTTGTGAAATATTCTTCAGAAATTTTTTTTCCTTTTTTTTTTTTTTATTTTATTGGAGTTCAATTTGCCAACATATAGCATAACACCCAGTGCTCACCCCATCAAGTGCACCCCTCAGTGCCCATCACCCAGTCACCCCCACCGCCCGCCCACCTCCCCTTCCACCACCCTTTGTTCGTTTCCCGGAGTTAGGAGTCTCTCATGTTCTGTCTCCCTTTCTGATATTTCCCACTCATTTTTTCTCCTTTCCCCTTTATTCCCTTTCACTATTTTTTATATTCCCCAAATGAATGAGAGCATATAATGTTTGTCCTTCTCTGATTGACTTATTTCACTCAGCATAATATCCTCCAGTTCCATCCACATCGAAGCAAATGGTGGGTATTTGTTGTTTCTAGTGGCTGAGTATTTCACATTATTCCATTGTGTACATAAACCACATCTTCTTTATCCATTCATCTTTCGATGAACACCGAGGCTCCTTCCACAGTTTGGCTATTGTGGACATTGCTGCTATAAACATCAGGGTACAGGTGTCCCGGCGTTTCACTGCATCTGTATCTTTGGGGTAAATCCCCAGCAGTGCAATTGCTGGGTCTTATGGCAGATCTATTTTTAACTCTTTGAGGAACCTCCACACAGTTTTCCAGAGTGGCTGCACCAGTTCACATTCCCACCAACAGTGTAAGAGGGTTCCCCTTCCTCCACATCCTTCCAACATTTGTGGTTTCCTGCCTTGTAAATTTTCCCCATTCTCACTGGTGTGAGGTGGTATCTCATTGTGGTTTTGATTTGTATTTCCCTGATGGCAAGTGATGCAGAGCATTTTCTCATGTGTTTGTTGGCCATCTCTATGTCTTCCTTTGTGAGATTTCTGTTCATGTTTTTGCCCATTTCATGATTGGATTCTTTGTTTCTTTGGTGTTGAGTTTAGTTAAGTTCTTTATAGATCTTGGATACTACTTGCCCTTTATCTGATAGGTAACTTGCAAATATCTTCTCCCATTGTGTACGTTGTCTTTTAGTTTTGTTGACTGTTTCTTTTGCTGTGCAGAAGCTTTTTATCTTGGTTAAGTTCGGATAGTTCATTTTTCCTTTTGTTTCCCTTGCCTTCATGGATGTATCTTGCAAGAAGTTACTGTGGCCAAGTTCAACAAGGGTGTTGCCTGTGTTCTCCTCTAGGATTTTGATGGAATCTTGTCTCACATTTAGATCTTTCATCCATTTTGAGTTTATCTTTGTGTATGGTGTAAGACAGTGGTCCAGTTTCATTCTTCTGCATGTGATGTCCAATTTTCCAAGCACCATTTATTGAAGATCCTGTCTTTTTTCCAGTGGATAGTCTTTCCTGCTTTCTTGAATATTAGTTGACCATAGAGTTGAGGGCCCATTTCTGTTTTTTTCTGTTCTGTTTCATTGATCTATGTGTCTGTTTTTGTGCTAGTACCACACTGTCTTGATGATCACAGCTTTGTAGGACAACTTGAAATCCAGCATTGTGATATCCCCAGCTCTGGTTTTCTTTTCCAATATTCCCCTGGCTATTTGGGGTCTTTTCTGATTCCACACAAATCTTAAGATTATTTGTTCCAACTCTCTGAAGAAAGTCCATGGTATTTTGATAGGGATTGCATTGAACGTGTAAATTGCCCTGGGTAGCATTGACATTTTCACAATATTCATTCTTCCAATCCATGAGCATGGAATATTTTTCCATCACTTTGTGTCTTCCTCAATTTCTTTCAGAAATGTTCTGTAGATGTTAGGGTATAGATCCTTTACCTCTTTGGTTAGATTTATTCCTGGGTATGCTGTATTTTGTCAAATGCTTTCTCTGCATCTATTGAGAGGATCATATGGTTCTTGTTTTTTCTCTTGCTGATATGATGAATCACATTGATTGCTTTACGAGTGTTGAACCAGCCTTGCATCCTGGGGATAAATCCCACTTGGTCATGGTGAATAATCTTCTTAATGTATTGTTAGATCCTATTGGCTAGTATCTTGTTGAGAATTTTTGCATCCATGTTCATCAGGGATATTGGTCTATAATTCTCCTTTTTGGTGGGGTCTTTCTCTGGTTTTGGAATTAAGGTGATACTGGCTCATAGAATGAGTTTGGAAGTATTCCATCTCTTTCTATCTTTCCAAACAGCTTTAGTAGAATAGGTATGGTTTCTTCTTTAAACGTTTGATAGAATTCCCCTGGGAAGCCATCTGGCTCTGGACTTTTGTGTCTTGGGAGGTTTTTGATGACTGCTTCAATTTCCTCCCTGGTTATTGGCCTGTTCAGATTTTCTATTTCTTCCTGTTCAAGTTTTGGTAGTTTGTGGTTTTCCAGAAATGCGTCCATTTCTTCTAGATTGCCTAATTTATTGGCGTAGAGCTGCTCATAATATGTTTTTAAAATCGTTTGTGTTTCCTTGGTGTTGGTGGTGATCTCTTCTTTCTCATTCACGATTTTATTAATTTGAGTCTTTTCTCTCTTCTTTTTAGTAAGGTTGGCTAATGGTTTATCTATCTTATTAATTCTTTCAAAGAACCAACTCCTGGTTTTGTTAATCTGTTCCACAGTTCTTCTGGTCTCGATTTCATTGAGTTCTGCTCGAATCTTCATTAACTCTCTTCTTCTGCTGGGTGTAGGATCTATTTGCTGTTTTTTCTCCAGCTCCTTTAGGTGCATGGTTAGCTTCTGTATTTGAGTTCTTTCTAGTTTTTGGATGGATGCTTGTATTGCGATGTATTTCCCTCTCAGGACTGCTTTTGCTGTATCTCAAAGATTTTGAACGGTTGTATCTTCATTCTCATTAGTTTCCATGAATCTTTTTAATTCTTCTCTAATTTCCTGGTTTACCCTTTCATCTTTTAGCAGGATGGTCCTTAACTTCCATGTGTTTGAAATCCTTCCAGAGTTGTTCTTGTGATTTAGTTCTAATTTCAAAGCATTATGGTCTGAAAATATGCAGGGGACAATCCTAATCCCAGTCTTTTGGTATTGGTTAAGACCTGATTTGTGACCCAGTATGTGGTCTATTCTGGAGAAAGTTCCATGTGCACTTGAGAAGAATGTGTATTCAGTTGAGTTTGGATGTAAAGTTCTGTAAATATCTGTGAAATCCATCTGGTCCAGTGTATCATTTAAAGCTCTTGTTTCTTTGGAGATGTTGTGCTTAGAAAACCTGTCGATTGTAGAAAGCGCTACATTCAGATCACCAAGTATATGTATATTATTATCTAAGTATGTCTTAACTTTGGTTATTAATTGATTGATATATTTGGCAGCTCCCACATTCGGGGCATAAATATTGATGATTGTTAAGTCCTCTTGTTGGATAGATCCTTTAAGTATGATATAGTGTCCCTCTTCATCTCTTACTACAGTCTTTGGGATAAACTTTAATTTATCTGACATAAGGATGGCTACCCCTGCTTTGTTTTGAGGACCATTTGAATGGTAAATGGTTCTACAACCTTTTATTTTCAGGCTGTAGGTGTCCTTCTGTCTAAAATGAGTCTTGTAGACAGCAAATAGATTGGTCCGGCTTTTTTATCCAGTCTGAAACCCTGTGGCTTTTGATGGGGTCATTAACCCCATTCATGTTCAGAGTTACTATTGAAAGATAATGTATTTAGTGTCATCATGATACCTATTCCGTCCCTGTTTTTGTGGATTGTTCCTTTGGACTTCCTCTATTACAGAATCCCCCTTAGTATTTCTTGCAAAGCTGGCTTCATGGTCACATATTCTTTCAGTTTCTCCCTATCTTGGAAGCTCTTTATCTCTCCTCCTATTCTGAAAGAGAGCCTTGCTGGATAGAGTATTCTTGGCTGCATGTTCTTCTCATTAGGACTGAATATATCCTTCCAGCCCTTTCTGGCCTGCCAGGTCTCTGTAGAGAGGTCTGCTGTTAACCTAATACTTCTCCCCATAATGTTTAGGGATTTCTTGTCTCTTGCTGCTTTAAGGATCTTCTCTTTATATTTGGAATTTTCAAGTTTCACTATTAAATGTCGAGGTGTTGAGCGGTTTTTATTGATTTTAGGGGGTGGGGGATCTCTCTGTTTCCTGGATCTGAATGCCTGTTTCCCTCCCCAAATTAGGGAAGTTCTCAGCTATGATTTGTTCAAATACATATTCTGGACCTCTGTCCCTTTCGGCGCCCTCGGGACCCCCAATTAAACGTAGATTTTTCCTTCTGAGGCTGTCATTTATTTCCCTTAACCTATCCTCATGATCTTTTAATTGTTTTTCTCTTTTTTCCTCAGTTTCCCTCCTTGCCATCAACTTATCTTCTATGTCACTCACTCATCCTTCTACCTCATTAACCCTCGTCGTTAGGACCTCTAGTTTGGATTGCATCTCATTTAATTGATTTTTAATATGGCCGCCTGATTAGATCTAAATTCTGCAGTCATGAAGTCTCTTGAATCCTTTTTTCTAGAGCCACCAGTAGCTTTATAATAGTGCTTCTGAATTGGCTTTCTGACATTGAATTGTAATCCTAATTTTGTAACTCTGTGGGAGAGAGGATTGTTTTGGATTCTTTCTTTTGAGGTTATTTTTTCCTTCTAGTCATTTTGCTCAGTGCAGAGTGGCCAAAAACAAGTTTACTGGGAAAAGGAGAAAAAGAAGAGAAAAAAGAAAAGAGAGAAAAAGAAAAGAAAAGAAAAGACAAAAAATGGGGGGGCAGGGAAGCAAACAGAAAACAAAAAACAGAAAAGAAAAAAAAAGAAAACAAAAAACAAGGGGGAGTATCGTCTGATTCTATATACTGTAAATCCCTCGACTTCCCCTGGAACTTTCCAGTGCTGCTTGGTCAATAACTTGCTTTTCCCCTGTCCGTGTAGGTGGTCTTCTGGGGGGAGGGGGGTTTCTGTGCTGATTCTCAGATGTGAGCGCCTGGGGGAGCTGCTCAGCCCCCTGCCTGGTGCATGGCTCAGTAGGATTTGTTTATCCTGTGAGGCCACTGTGAGGCTCAGTGGAAGTTGTTTATCCTGTGAGGACCCAGGAGGAACAACAACAGTGGCGGCAGCCAGCTCTCCAGCGCTAGAGTCAGCTCGTGGAGTTAACTACAGCAGCTCCCAGTCCGCAGGGGCCTGGATGCTCCGGGGGCGGGGCCCTGATCTGCTCAGCTCAGGCCGCCCAGCGGCAGGAGTGTCCCCGCCATCCTCTGCACTGCTGGCCTCTGCCTGTCCCAAGGGGAGTGCCGGATCCTGGGCACTCCTGTGTCCCCCGGCACTCCTGTGTCCCCCGGTGCCTCGAGCTCCAAGGCCTGCGCTGCTGGAATCGCGCCCCCGGGCCGCATAGCCCCCTCCACGCGGAGCCACTTCCAGGCTGCTCCCAGCCCAGCCGGGAGCGCGCTGCTGCCCTTAGGGAGCTCGGCCCCCCGGGGTGTGTGGCGCACTCTCCCCGGGGTCGGGGGGGTCGGGGGTCGGGGGTGCAGGTCCTCTGTTAGTGCTCCTGGGAGCCTGAGGGCATCCCCGCCCCTCCTGGGATCCTGCTCCAACTCCCTGCAAGCGCCTTTCCTTCTGGGAAGATTGGTGAAGCCCCTGATTCTCCTGGATGGGCCTTTCCTGTCCTGGGGGCACTCGCCCCTTGGACTTAGCCCGGCTCCTCGCGGGGCCCCTCCCCCTTGGATGCTTTTTCTTTTTCTTTTTTTTTTTCCCCCCGTCTTCCTACCTTGATAGAAGCACGAACTCTTCTCACTGTAGCATTCCATCTGTTCTCTCTTTAAATCTCATGCCGAATTTGTAGGTTTTCAGGATGATTTGAAAGTTATCTAGGTAATTTGATGTGGACAGGTGACTTGGGGACCCTACTCTTCCACCATCTTGCCCCCTCCTCCAGAAATTTCTTTTTTTTTAGTCTTAGACCTTTGAAAGTGACTAAGGACAGTTGGCCCAGATCCCTCCATTACCTTAATCACACTTCTCCACATGTCACTTCCCCTCATAAATGCTTTCTTTTGTCCTGTGATAGGGTGATTTACCAATACCCATAATGCAGACTCAGCTTCACCTTAGACAGTTTTTCTGGTTAGTTTGTCTTAAACTTGTTCACCTTCCCTTAGACACCTTTTATTAACTGGTATGTATGTATTCATACTTGCAGTAGTCATTTAACAAACATGTGATGGGCACTCACTACCATCCAGTTTTAGGTAATAAAAAGAATAACGTTCCTTTTATCATGGAACATGTATTACAGTGAGGAACAAGAAGCATATATGTTTGTGTGTGTGTTTATGCATGTGAGTGTGTATATACAGTGTTTTGATGGTAAGCACTGTGGAGAGAGTTAAAGCAGTGGAGAATGATGGCATTTGCCAGTGGGCAAGGGAGTTAAAGAAAACCCGTTTGATGAGGTCTGCAGGAGAGATGAGACCCTAGTAAAGTGTAAGTGTGAGTGGTTCCAGACAGATGCCAGACTTCTTACCTGTGTTCTTAGAGCGTTTGAAGAATGGCAAGGGGGGCATTGTAGCTGGTGAGTAGGTGTTGGTGAGATTAATAGATGTCATAAAAAGTAGTATGGATCATGGTAATTTTATTTTGAGTGATGTGAGAAATCCTTTTTTTTTTTTGAGTAAATGCAAGTCAGATTAAATAATCAGATTTGAGATATACACATACACACACACACACACATACATGTATATAGTAGTAAAAATAGTGTGGTGGTTAGGTAGTGCTTAGACATGAGCAAGGAAGGAATACCATTTAGTAGACTATTTTATACTCCAGGGGAGAGAGGATAGTGGCTTAGGCGATGTAGGAGTGGTAGTTTTGTACATATATGTTGGGGATGAGGCCAGCAAGATTTTCTGTAGGATTGATAGTGTGAAAGGGAGACAGGAATCCAGCATGACTCAACTGATTTGTCTCAAGCAACTGGGTAAATCAAGTTGCCATTTATAGAGAGGATATTTAAAGAGATTATAGGGGAATTAGGACATACTTAAACTTGGGCACAAGAAGCTGGAGAGAACTACTAGAACTCAGTCTGTGTGTTGAATAAGATATTGGTTCTCTGTGAGTATGGTGCACATGTCTGAGGCCAGAGCCAGAAGTGCCTGTGTGAGAGGCGTCATCTATGGGTGGTAGAAAAAGCACCAGGCTAGGTGAGAGCTTCTAGTTCAGGGGTTGGTGGGCTTTTTTTTTTTTTTTTAAGATTTTATTTAATAAGAGATGCACAGAAAGAGAGGCAGAGACACAGGCAGAGGGAGAAACAGGCTCCATCCTGGGAGCCTGACATGAGACTTGATCCCGGGTCTCCGAGATCACGCGCTGGGCCGAAGGTGGCGCTAAACCTCTGAGCCACCGGGCTGCTCTTGGTGGACTTTTATGTAAAGACCATAGCCCATATTTTAGGTTAGGTAGGTCACGTGTGATCTGGGTGGTGGTGGCTGCTGCTATTGCTCTTCTTCCTGGTTCTCCTTTTCCCTCTCCTCCCCTCTTTCTTTTTTCTTCCTCACTCCTTCCCACTGCCTCTTTTATCTTTCCCCTCTAAAAATATAAAAAACACTCATAGTTGAAGGACCCTTCCTCAGCAGTCATAGTTTGAAGACTCCTTTTTAGAGAGTGGTTGTTTGCATGTGAGATTAGTGGTCCTGGAATTCTACTTTGACAAGGTGTGAAAATCCATTGAACCTCATCATGAGAGGAGCTTGCAGAGGAATAGTCTGAGTGAGGTGACAACTGAAGCCTGGTTTCCCAGGAATCCATCCAATAAGGAACATCCTACCGTCCTCATATGACTGACCCTAAATGGCAGCCTCCAGGGTCAGCACGCTAAACCTGTTATTCCCTATTACTAGTCTCATACTCATGGGGTTGCATGCCTTTCTTTTCTTTTTTTTTTGTTTTTTAATTTTTATTTATTTATGATAGTCACAGAGAGAGAGAGAGAGAGAGGCAGAGACATAGGCAGAGGGAGAAGCGGGATCCATGCACCGGGAGCCCGACGTGGGATTCAGTCCCGGGTCTCCAGGATCGCGCCCTGGGCCAAAGGCAGGCGCTAAACCGCTGCGCCACCGAGGGATCCCGTTGTATGCCTTTCAAAACCAACTTCCGTATCTTTCTGTTTTCTCACTTCTCACTGATCCCACTCAAAACCAGAACTGTACGTTTCCTCATCCCTAGCTTGATCTAATTCCTAACTGATTTTTATTTTGTTACCTATATTACCAGTTTATCTTTCACTAGCCTGACAGAGTTGCTACTTATTAAGAAATAAAATTAAAGTCTCCTTTCATTGACTGTTACATTGTGGTCCTCTTGTTCTATCTGTCTTGTTTCTTTTTTGTCTGCTCTCCAGAATTTACACTAGACCCCATACTGTCTTGTATCTTAAATTTCACTTATAAATGCTTTCTCTTTATCTACAACTTTCATTCTTGTTTACTTTGCTTTTCAGATACTTAAATTAATATCATACACGTTAAGTGTTTAAACAGTGCATGGTACATAGTAATGGCTTCTCAGCATGCATACTAGGGAAGATCCTACCATAGTAGTCAAGCTGTGAGAAGATAAGGACATGAACTGTGATCTGCCTCTGAATTCTTCCTCTGCTGTGTTTCTCAGTCTATTTGTAGTTTATTTTTTGTTTGAAAAAACTCTCTTTTTGAATTCATTTAGTTCTCTGAGTTTCCTGCTTCCTGAGTGGATGTCTCTCAGAAAATCTCTGATCCCTACTCATTGTGTTGAGTTTATTTTATTTTCTCTAGCCTGCCCCTTATAGCCTTTTTTAAAATGGTGATTTCTTATAAAATAAATTAAAAGAAAAACTAGATTCTGGGTTATAGGACTTCTTGATTGAACCCGGGGATGTTTTGGTGCACAAAACAGAAGCATGTGCTTCAGCAGGAATCCTTCCCTAGAAATCTTTACATGAAGGGATAAGGACTGAACTGTTCTGTCTCCCGCAAACATAGTTCTTCCTCTGTAAGCCTTGTCCACTAGTCTCTACCATCACTTTATTCAGTGTGCAGTGTCTCTTTTGGGCTTACCCCATTCTGAGTTTCCCTGAATCAGCCACTCCCAGCTCCCTGTACTTTGAATTTTTACCCTTTTATGTCCAGTTTTGAAGGTTTTATATTTAAAATGTTACATATCATCACCAGTTTCCTTTCCTTGTTTCTACCGCAGCATGTATTTATTTTCCATTGAACCAGGAGGATAAAGGAAATGTATGCTTGGATTTAGTTTACACCAGAAAACTGAGCCTAAAACAAAAGAATCAACTACATGAAAGGGTCATTTGTGTGAGTTCAGTCCCATTAGAAAGTGTACTAGGATTCATAAAATGTGGTTATTTTTCTCATTTCTAGAAGACTGGAAAGTTGCTGACCTGATAGAGAGCAGCCAGAACAATGAAGACGAACATTTTTGGCAACTTGCTTTCACCGCCAACAAAACAGTAAATATAGATAGTGGTGATAGAGTCAGGAAAGCTTTCAATCTGGGCACAGATTCTGTTCCTTCAAGAAATTTTCCATATAAGATATGTGACTCGTGTGAAATGAGTTTGAAAAATATTTCAGGCTTAATTATTAGTAGGAAGAACTATTCTGGAAAGAAGCCTGATGAATTTAATGTCTATGAGAAATTGCTCCTGGATATTAGGCATGAGAAAACTCCTCCTGGGGGGAAATCTTATAAATACAATCAAAAAAGGAATGTGCTCAATCATAGCCACAATCTCAATCAGCCAATTTTTGACCAGCCTTCTGAATATAATGAAAATGGACAAGCCTTCCATGAGGAAGCGGCCTTTTTTACAAACAAGAAAATACAGATTGGAGAGACGCTCTGTAAATATAATGCATGTGGAAGAACCCTCATCCACAGTTTAGAACTCAGTTTATCTCAGACTACTCATTTAGAGATGGAGCCATATGAATGCAATATTTGTGGGAAGTCCTTTTATACAGATTTAAGATTGGGACATCAGAGAAATCTTACAGGGGAGACTCCTTATGAATACAATGAATATGGGCAAACCTTATGTGATAACTCAACTTTCATTATTCATCAAGAAACCTATGCAAGAAAGATTCCCCATGAATATAAAGTAGATCATAAAACATGGGAAAAATCAGCCCTCTTTAAACATCAGATAGTACACATGGGCAAGAAACCTTACGAGCACAATGAAAATGGAAATAACTTCAACAAAAAGTCACATCTCACCCAACTTCGAAGAGCTCACTCAGGTGAAAAAACTTTTGAATGTGGTGAATGTGGGAAAACATTCTGGGAGAAGTCAAACCTCACCCAGCATCAAAGAACACACACAGGAGAGAAACCCTATGAATGTACTGAATGTGGGAAATCCTTTTGTCAGAAACCACACCTTACCAACCATCAGCGAACACATACAGGAGAAAAACCCTATGAATGTAAGCAGTGTGGAAAAACATTCTGTGTAAAGTCAAATCTTACAGAACATCAGAGAACGCATACAGGGGAGAAACCATATGAATGTAATACATGTAGGAAATCCTTCTGCCACAGGTCAGCCCTAACTGTCCATCAGAGAACACACACAGGAGAGAAACCCTTTATGTGTAATGAATGTGGGAAGTCCTTCTGTGTGAAGTCAAACCTCATCGTACATCAAAGAACTCACACAGGGGAGAAACCCTATAAGTGTAACGAGTGTGGGAAAACCTTTTGTGAAAAATCTGCTCTCACTAAACATCAGAGAACTCACACAGGGGAGAAACCCTATGAGTGTGATGGATGTGGGAAAACATTCAGTCAGAGGTCAGTACTCACAAAACATCAGAGAATTCACGCAAGGGTGAAGGCTCTTTCCACATCCTGATGTCCAGAAGCCTTCACCCACCCATTCAAATTCTTACACCATTTCTAAAAACAAGATGAATGAAGCCCAAAGAATGTCTTACATTACTAGAAAGTGATGTCTTGTCATACTTCAAGTAATTAATACTGGAATAAAACCTTACTGATACTTTGAATATGTGAAAGTGCTCAAGAAAAACTGAAACTTTTCATCAGAAAATTTATATTGAGGGTAAATTTATTCACTTAAAGAATGTGTAGAAATCTATGTCTAGGATTTATGTTGTGTCATATTCCAGATGTGATACCAAATTTTATTGTAAATATAGTGGATGGTGTTCATTCATACCTATATTTACAGTGGGATCTGAAGTTTAAAAAAAGTTGAATCACGATAGCGTGAAGAGTCCTGATGTTTGCAGGCCTGATATAGTAATAGTAATATAGCAGAAATTGGAGGTATGCTTGATTTGTATACTTGTGAAGAGAAAATATCCTTACTTAAATAAGTGTTACGGTCTATATTAATATCTCCCACACTAAACACCACCAGTGTCTTTATAGGTTGATATAATTATATATGTATATATATGTATATGTAAATCTATTTATACACACATACCCCCACGTATGCAGTGGTGTGTTGGAATAAGCTCATGCTGGCTTGCAACTGCTGAAAGTTAAATTTTCAGGAATTTTGTGAGCCAGTTCTTAAACAGTCATTATTTAAAAATTAAGTTATATTAAAACCAAGGGTAGTAAATACTCAGCACTCATCATTTCCTAATTATTTTATAACATTTTGCTCTTATCTTTGTTCTTTGGGTCACCTATATTATCAAATGGCATGGTAAAAATACCATATAACATGCTACTGCACATCTCTTCCCACCTCTGCACTCAGTGTTGTCCTGTGAGTAGGTCGGCTTTAGTGGGAGGACTTAGGCCCTGGACATTGACAAACTCTACAAACCAGGGTTTTAATTTCCTTAGAGAACCTGTTGTCAAATACTTACCAGCACACCACTGTGTGTGTATATATATATATCTGGAAAATTTGAACAAACTACATACCCCCCTCTCCCATTTCCTGACATAAATAAATGGTTATGGCCATTATTGCTGAACTGCCTCTTCAGTGAATAACCCCAAATTTGTTTTTGTGAGTTTTTTTTTTTTAACTACCTCTGCATCAGTCTTAATTGTAAATACTACTTGAGTCTCTTTATAGTTTGGCCAGTATATGTTCTCTTAAAACCACATCACCAACCTTCCCTCTGATGTTGCTAGCATATATGAATTAGTATGGCCGTTGTTACTAATCTACTACTTCCCTAAAGAAGCCACTGAGGATTTTTAGCTGCCTCTGGGTCAGTCCATAGTGTAAGTGCTGTTAATAACCGTGATATTTATGTGAGTTTTGCAAAGGTTAACATCATTTATGAACAGGAATACTCACTGCACAGCACAAATAAAATTTCTAGTATTACTAGAATGCTACTTTCTTACTCTAGATATTTCATTATTGTATCTATTTAGGCATGATATGTTGTATGTGACCCAGGAACTATGTATTTGTATTTAAAATAATAGGGTGTCATATACTGTCTCTGCCTCCTTTGTCCTACTGTTTTCTGCACCTCCTTGGAACACACTGATCATCAGTTCCAAGAGACACTGCCCACCTAGCACCCATACTCTATTTTTTACTTGCTGGGCTCTGTTTTGTCTCTCTTTCCATTCTTCCCCCAGATGATCTAGGAGTAAATTCAGATTAATCTAAGTTAATCGTGGAGATACTAGTCTAATGATTCTGTTGAAGTGTTTGGGAAATATTCTGTGATTCTTCTGGGAAAGACCTCAGTGATAAACCATTGTTGTGACATGAGAAGACACAAGGGGAGATTGTCTCTCTTAGGCTGGACTTTTTCTTTTTTTTTTTTTAATTCTTTTTATTTTTTTAAAAAGATTTTATTCACGAGAGACACAGAGAGAAAGGCAGAGACACAGGCAGAGAGAGGAGAAGCAGGCTCCATGCAGGGAGCCCGACATGGGACTCGATCCCAGGACTCCAGGATCATGCCCTGAGCCAAAGGCAGACTCTCAATCACTGAGCCACCCAGATGTTCCTGGACTTTTTCATATTTGTATGTTATATACCAAATTATAGCTGGTGACCTTGAAGGGCAATAGCCTGAAGATAGCAGTAGATAAAATGGGACAAGCCTGGCTCAGAGGGGATGTCATTGAGCCACATAACTGCATCTGGGCCTGTTCTCTGCTAGGACTTCATATTACTGTGGTAATAATGGTTGCTTTTTTATCCTTAGGGCAGTCTGTTACTTCTAGATGAAGGCCTTCCAATAGATGAGTATTTAGGTTCTAAGTGTTTATGTTCTATACAGTGATTTGGAGGAAGAATGATTTCTTTTGACAAGGTAATACAAAGATAACTATTTGTATCAGCCCTGTTTCTAATGAAAAACAGAATTCTACCCCAACTAAGAGGATTGTACACAGTAGACTTAACTACAGTGATGTGGGCCAGAAACAAGGGATGCTCAAGCACCTAGAGACTAGCATCACCCAGAAGCCGTGACCATTCTAAGTCATAAAGGGGCAAAGGATGGAAACAAGTGTCACCAGAGCCCAATAAGAGCTGCTGTCATGGAGGAGAGACTATCTCCTAGGAGATCTTTTCCCTACCAGAATCATGGCCCTGAACTACTGATGCCTCCCTTTGAAGAATCTAACCAGATGTTATTTGCAGAGTAGCCCAGGTGGATACAGAAAGTGGAAAGAAGGTCTGGGTGCAGTCGATGGATAATAAGCAGCACAGTGTTTGTTTCTGTAAATTCCTACGTAAAGTCTCAGTATTAGAAATAAACTTATTCTGCTAGTTGAAAGTGAAGTCTTTTTACTTCATTGTGCTTTTGTATTGTCACAAGTAAATTCCTTTTGAAATTGAGCACTGTGGCAGGTATGTCTGTTGACATGCATGAAGCAGACATTATGTTAAATTACATTATTCATATATCCCTCTGTGGTGTTTCTTGTTAAATGTGTTGTGAGGTAAGCAGTTCTGTATTCTTCCAAATAAATAGCCATTTGTCCCTGCATTGTTTGATTAATTTACCCTTTTCATTGTCTGCTCAATAGGGCATTTTTAACATGTACTTAAATATTATGTGTAGTGGCTGTTGCTTTTTATCTACTCAAGGCAAATTTTCTACATTCTTCAGTAGCATAACCTGTCCTTGTGAACACAAGAGTTGACATTTATCCCAGATGATACCATCTCTTCCTGGCTCGATGTGTGTATTGAACCAGGAGTCATCATTTGTTACAAAATAGGCTAATGAGAACCCATCCTAGAATATTTTTCACAAGTCATCATGACCAGATAGTTTGTGTCCTTGTTGCCGCCAGAAGTCCTATCAAGAAATTATGTCTGCAACAGAGAAGACAATGGGGATAAGTGCTGCAAAGTAAATTAAAGATAGGAACAGTTGTCAGAAAGTCTGATTCTACATAGCATAGAGAGGGAATGATGTCATGGGGAAGGATAGAGTGGTGGGAGGGAGCCATTTGGTTATCTGGTAAGTGCATTGTGCATGTGTGAGTGATACATGTAGATGTGTAACCAACAGTTTTACGTACCTATGATTTTGCTTCTGAAACAGCACCCTAATTACCTGCACTTTGATGTTTTATTTTGTATTGTACCACATTCTGTTAAGAGAAATGTTTGCTCCCATATACCAAACTGATGCCACAGCCAGTGAATGGGTCATCTTCCAGATTTTAAAAACCAATGCTCAAGTGCAAAATCAGAAAAGGAATTACTGGGTCATAGGTATGGCTTTCTGAATTGACTAAGCGATTTACATTCTACTGCCTGGAAATTGTTTCCTGATAAACTCCCTAGAACCTGTCTTGGGAATTGGGCCCACGGTTCTCTATGTGAAACTTGCCCCCTGCCCTTTCCCAGTGTGCCCTGTCACTTGATATCCAGCCTTATACTTGGCAGGGAAAGGTAGAGCCATAGCCTCTGGAAAGTTCCAACCCATGCCCTCAACCACCTTGCTGCTCCCTGCAGGAAATTGCAGCTGTAGCTGTGCTTGCCCTACCCCTTCTACCTCTGTGTTTCTGGGGAAGGCTTATCCTATTCTGATTTCCCTTATTTCCACTGAATCTTGACGTGCCACTCAGTGGTGGGACACTACATAATTTCTGCCTCCTCTCTCTTCCCCACCTGCTCCTCCTTTTAGATTCTACACATCTCCAGGCTCCTCTTTCAGACCATGAGCAACCGAGATCTCTTCTTAGAAGAGCAAGGTCTCCTCAGATATTTGGGGAGGTTGGAAACTGATGATATCTTGCCTGCTCCACTGTGTCTGGAGTCCATAGTTTGGATGGTTCATCCTCTCTGGTTCAGTTTCCTCATATACAAAATAGGAATAGTTATCCCCATCAGAAAGAACGGGCCTTATTTTCAGCTTACTTGTAGTGACACACAGGCCAAAAATTCTCACTTGTCTAACCCCCCAAAAGTAGTTCACATCCTCAGAGAACAGGAGGGGAGTTTAGAACTACTTGAATGTAACAGATGAGTCGTCTTCACCCTTGCCTGTCCTAAAATAGCTATTGGTTTTTAATTCAGCATGTATCCTCAGCCTTTTTCTGTGCATTTTAACCATATTTGTTTACCTATGGAGAATTTTTAATAAACCAAACTCTTCTGGGCATTTGACTTTGGCAAATCAGAAATACTGTCAAAATATTAAAATCCTATGTTGTGAGCAAAAGTATACATTACCATTTCCAAATAATATGTTGTTTCCTGGAATTAGAGGCCACTTTAAAATTGTTATGCCCAATGATTTGCAAACTCTATTTGTAATTGCTACTAAGGAGAAATAAACCATGTAATTCTTAATAGCCTATCAACTATTGTTAATATTTTTTGGAGTTTTTTTTCCCAGATGATATGGTGATTTGTGCAAATACTCTGTGTGTTATTATACTTTAAAACATTTAGAAATTCCTCTAAGATGTATCCAAAAGTTTAAAAACTGTTAATGTTAGTGGTTGTGATGAAAAACATACCCTAACCTCAGTAACTTTAGAAGAGTAGATACTAGGGAAGGCTGTGAAAAACTTACCCATGAAACAGCATGTTGTTAGTTTAGTATGTAATGATGAAGAGGTAATAATGCTTAGAAAATATGAATGAAATGACTTTTATATACCACAGGAGTCATAGACTTAACATTCTCTGAAATGTGTTCTTCAGTTTTACTTATATGTGAATATTAATGAAATAACACTGTTCCCTATCATTCCCCATAGGTGGGATGTAGTTATGTCTCTGACATTTGGTTTGGCTTCTAGTTCAGTATTCTTTTTGGAAATACACATACATGCCTGCACACAGTATTAGGATAATGTATATACTGTAAATTCCCATTTTTCATTTCACAATATTGTGATTAACATTTTTTTCTGTTGGCTTTTCTGCCCTTACATGCTTATTTTTAATGAATACCTAGGATTCTCTCTTATAGAACAGTACCATTTTACTTACAACCTGTTGATACTTGCTTAGCTGGCTTCCAGTATTTTTATTATAAATTAACATTGTAGAGGAGTGCTTTTGGGCATATACCTTTCTACACTCCTCCAAGTTTTCTTCTTTGGATTTCTTTCTAAAATTAATTTCTGGATTGAAAGTTAAGTTCATTTTCAGTTCTGATGAAACTGACTCCAGAAAGGCTGTATGAATTTCAGGTTCATCCAAAGTTTGGAAATGTGAATTCTCCAAACCCATTTCCATAATGGATACTATTCTTTTACAGACTTTTACAACCTTATATAATATTCTTGAACTGATTTTCTAGAGACATTGAGCAGTTTAACATTATTTATTGACTGTTCATCTTCAGTTTCTTAGTGTTGACTCATGTCCTTAGCTTCATTTTATTTTTATTTATCATTTATTTTGTGAATTTCTAGTTTTATTGTTTTATATCAGGCTGGGCTTGCAAAAAAAGATAGGCTGCAGATGGACCCGAGACCTGTATTTTGGGGTTCTTGGAGTAGCCACATGTACAGGGAAGTGGAGATCAGTAAATGGGCTTGGGGGAGAGGCCTTGGGCTCCTGGGGGCACAGGTTTTCTGTGGAGTAGAACTCAAAAGGCCTCACGCAGACCTCTTAGTGACATGATCAGGTCCAGCAGGGGGAGCAAGAGCAGAAGGAACGACTGGACCAATTGCTGCCTATTGCTCCTTGGCTTCCCCGCAAGGGCTGGCTGCAGCTGTCAGAGCCCTGGCGTCTATGGCGGTAGGACCTACAGTGCCTTTGGTTTCTTAGCCTCGGTTTAATTGAGGTGCTCATTTTATAACAGTCGATCATAAAAGAGTATTACAATATTTTCCTGATTTATGTGCTCTATGTAATAAGAATCTATTTTTTTATAGCAACAATGACAACTATACATAATGGCTTTTTTCACTTTATATTATTCTGTGTCAATATGATTCCATTTCTTTATTTGCAGTGTCCTCTAAAACTTGTCTACAGAAGGATTCTTTTTGAAGTCAAGATTTCATAAATTCAAACTTTTAAACAAGTTTTGTCTGCTGTTGGTGTCATGCATTTTCAATATTAAAATTATGAAACTCATAATTTTTGAACTTTGATAGTTTACAAGTTAATATTTCAATTAAGAATACTTATACAGGGATCCCTGGGTAGCGCAGCAGTTTAGCGCCTGCCTTTGGCCCAGGGCGCGATCCTGGAGACCTGGGATCGAATCCCATGTCGGGCTCCTGGTGCATGGAGCCTGCTTCTCCCTCTGCCTGTGTCTCTGCCTCTCTCTCTCTCTCTGTGGGACTATCATAAAAAAAAAAAAAAGAATACTTACAGATATGTATTCATTACAATATAGGAGGTAAACACCTCATCTTACTAGTTGTCTAGAGACACCATCAGTTACCCTGCGAGGCTCATTATTTTCTACTTTTTTCAAATTGTAACATTATCACATACTAGATTCTTACATGATATTAGGACTTTATATATTGCTGCTTTTTCATGACTCAGAACTAAAATATGTAGATTATTGTAGCTATTAAAGACATTTGGGGGGATGCTTGGGTGGCTCAGGGGTTGAGCCTTTGGCTCATGGCATGATCCCAGAATCCCTGGATCGAGTCCCAAATCAGGCTCCCTGCATGGAGCCTGCTTCTCCCTTTGCTTATGTCTCTGCGCCCCCCCACCCTGCCCCGTCTCTCATGAATAAATAAATAAATAAATCTTTAAAAAAAAGACATTTTGGTTCAGCTTCAGTCTGCCTTTGCACAAAATGTCTGCCTCACTATTCTACAATAAAATTTACATTTGTTCTAGCAACAGAACAAAAAAATGTCCAAAAGTTTGTGAAGATATTGTTTGGAATGTTACACCATAATATACTTCATCTTCTTATTTAGGAAAATGATTTTTACCTCTTTTTATTCAAATATTTTTTTAAAGATTTTTAGATTTATTTTTTCATGAAAAACACAGAGAAGCAGAGACATAGGCAAAGGGAGAAGCAGGCTTCCTGCAGGGAGTCTGATGCAAGACCCAAACCCAGGACACCAGGATCACAATCTGAGCCAAAGGCAGATGCTCAACCACTGAGCTATCCAGGTGCCCCATTTACCCAAATCTTTTATTATTCACTGAAGTTCAGTAGTTTCCTTCATATGGACTGTACATTTCTTATATATGTCTAGATGTATTTTTCTTTGAACACATAACCCTCCTGGACTATATTATCATGGACATAAAGGAAGAATTTTATATTGTTAAAGTATATTTACTAATAAAGATTTCCACTGTGTCTTATTCGATAAAGAGATAGTCACAAAGCATAGTACTCTTTATAAAAATGTGAGAGTTTAACTTAAAGTTAACTCTAAAGAGGAGGAGGTCTTCTTTTGGATTATATTTCTTTTTAGGATTTTTTCATTTTGTTTAATGTTTGTATAATTTTCCCAAGCAAACATATTTTGCAACTCAAGAGAAATCTGGATAATCATAGATATGACATTTTTAAATTTTTGGCCTCTGTTTTTGGCTTTTCTTAAATGTTTTACCTATGTTCATGAATGCTATAGATGTACCTGTGATATATATATATATGTCTGTGGTAGTTTTATGTCAGTAGTTGAAACACAGGCTATGATTAAAGCCCACTTTTAAACCCTGTCCTTAGAATTGTAAAAACAACACCTCCAGGGAGAAGATTGTTTTGGGCGTCTCTAAAGGAGACACCATAGAGACTTATGGACACTGAACTGTAAATAATGGGACCTCTGATGACACCGGGAAGGTAAGGCACAGCCCTTTGCTCTGCACATGTGCAGTTCTATGTGGTCTCCAGCCTCCTCAGTGGGCTGATGCAGGAGACTCTAACCTTTATCCTTTGGGCACCTGGTGCTGGACTGGGAACTGGAAAGGAAGTTTGTGCTCTTTTGGATTCTGTGGAATTTGGCAGAAAAAGAGTTATAATTGCATTGCAGTGGGTAGTGTTCAAAATCTCCAAATGCTCTTAATTGGGTGTTTTAATGTGTATAGTTTTGAGCCTGCCTGGGACTTACCTTCAGAGGATAGGCTGTGCCAAGTGAGTACTGTTTCAAGGTGAAGGGAAGGGTGTAGGGGAGAGGATGAGGACTGGCATTAAGCAGGTGAGCTGTAATCGCCTCTGTTACTTCCTTTGAGGGAAGCTCTTTATATGCAATAAAATTTATGAGCCTTGATTCAGAAAGTCTATTCTTCAGCTGCATATGCCAGGGAATAGGGCTGGCAATTGTGACTGAGGAGAATTGTTAAAGGCTGTCTGATAGGAGCTGGGGCTGTGGGATCTCAGTCCTCTGTAGTGAGATACCATCAAGGAGTATGGACTTGACAGTCAGTCTGGTCTGCATACACATCCAATCTCTACCACTCAACACAGCTGTGAGTCTAGACAGATGACTAACCACTGAAATCCTCAGTTTCTCCCTCACTAAAAAGTGAATGACAGCAGTAACTACTTTATGGGATTCTTGTCAGATTTTTTAAAATGTAAGTTCTATATATATTTATCAATCATGGGATGTGACTTAGTTTTGTGGTTGATTATTTGATTTATTTGAAAATGGAACACAGGGACGCCTGGGTGGCTCAGTGGTTGAGCGTCTGCCTTTGGCTCAGGGTGTGATCCTGGAGTCCCAGGATTGAGTCCCACATCGGGCTCCCTTGCAAGGAGCTGGCTTCTCCCTCTGCCTATGTCTCTGCCTCTCTCTGTGTCTCTCATGAATAAATAAATAAATCTTAAACAAACAAACAAAATGGAACACAAAACTGTTGGAGAGTGATGTCACCAAGATGGTGAAGTAGGGGATCCTGCCTCCCTCAATTGAGGTCAACAGTTACACACCTTACTTGTGAATAAAAGCAATTCTGGGATAGCTCAAGAATCCACCGAACAAAACTCAGCAGCAGTGGAAAAAAAAAAAAAACACTGAGAATAACTCTTCAAAAAAGGGGAACAGCTTCATTTTGCCCTAGTTCCATCTGCCCTGGCTGGTGCTGTTCAGTGCCAACAGGGAACTCCCAGCCAAAAAGGGTCTTGCTGGGAAAGAAAAAGAGCCAGGTGAGCACCCAGCTTTCTGACCCTTTCAGGGCACCATGCAATGGCCCTAATATGGTTTTGCGCCACC